GGGGAATGCTTCCTGTAATGAAATAGATGGCCATACACAGGGCAAAGCTGGACCAGAGCAGGAAGAGAGGGCGAGCAGTCAGGTCTATAAATAAAGACTGCACGCTTAGCCTTTTGTCATCCAGGGAGCCAGAAAGTGGGACGACATAAATATTCAATGATAGGTACGGGGTAAGTGTGCCAACACCAGAGGAGAAACTCCACTTATTTATACTTTGTCTTCAATAACCCCCCAGAGGGGGCGAGCGAAAACTCAGGAAACTAAAGCAGAATTTTTTGGTCTTTCTAATCAAGGAGCACACAAGGCGGTAACCCGTAGCAACAAACCGGATTTCAATTTACTGCTCTCGGACCCAATAGAAGATAATTCTGAATGTTTACTCTCAGTCATATCATTGTTGGGTTTTGACCAGCCCCTTACATATCGACTTGTGCTAATGAAATAAATACCTGTCTGTGTTGCTCCAAAGCAGCCAATCAGATTTAGCTGTGCACTAGAAACTGACTTTTGGAGAATGAGGTCCTGCTCACGCATCCACATTGCACGGAGAGGGGAATTTATCAAAATCTGGAGTAGTTGGCTATGGCAACTAATCAGCTTCAATCTTTTATTTTTAAGCAAGCTGAAGAGAGAAGCTGATCGGTTACTATGGGCAACTGCTCCAGATTCTGTCTGCTCCAGTTTTGATTATTTCCCCCCAGTATGTGCGTTAAAGCACTGCGGTGTCATTTTTAATGGAACTCCAACGCACCACAACACATAACATGGTCCGTGTTAAGGTGCACTGCACTGCGGAAAAATGCAGCCTGCACTACACTTTGATGTGTTGTGGCCGACAACGTTGTGGTATGAACCAGCCCTTAGCGTTATATGATTCCAGGGGAAAAGAGACACGGTTCTCACTGAGAACATACTGATTAGTCTGGCCTATCAGTATTCCAATATGGGAGCTGCCATTGCTCTATTGCAGGGGTAACCTCAGCACTCCAGCTGTTATAGAACTACAAGTCCCAAGAGGCTTTGCAAGTGTAATAGCCACAGGTATGACTCTCAGAGGCAGAGGCATGAAGGGATTTGTAGTTTCACCACAGCTGGAGTGTCGTGGTCTATTGTTTTTAAAGTTGTATCCCAATTCTGTCTTCACTGCATTAAGTAGATCTGTCAAAGTCTCCTGTAGGGCTATGCTGTGGCTTGGTGGTTAGCACTTCAGCACTGGGGTCCTTGGTTCAAATCCTAGCCAGGGCACTAGCTACAGTTTGCATGTTCTCTCTGTGTCTGTGTAGGTTTCCTCCCAGATACTCTGATTTGCTACACTCTAAAGATGTGCTCATAGGTAAATTGGGCTGAGTTTGTGTATAGCTATGTGAATGTCTTCCTTATATTGTAAAGTGCTGCGCAAACTGTTGGCGCTATATACATCCTGTATAATAATCTATGTGAGATAGGGAGCTTAGATTGTAACTCCTCAAAGGCAGGGACTGATGTGAATGTACAGTATGTAAGCATGTGGTTTAAAGTGTTGGTGCTTTATAAATACCTGGAATAACTGTTATCAGCTGTACCATGTAAATGCAATTTCAAAAATAGTTTTCAATCTTTTTAAATCGCAGCTTTCATTAAAATAATCCTTGGCGATCTTTCCATGAAGTTCAAGCACTTCTTGTTTTGGGGTGACCATGCTCTGTCTCCCAGACAACATGCCCCTGTTTTGTCACTATGTAACATGCCCCCGATGAAGACTACAAGAGGCCGTGCCAACATATTTTGCACGGGCATGGTCTAAAGGTGCCCATACACTGCTCGATTCTCGTACGAGAATCGCGGGAAATCCCGCGATCGTACGAGAATCGAGCAGTGTGAACGGAGACGTGCGACCGTTTCTACTGTACGGTCGCACGTCTTCCGTCGAACCAGCATGTTCGAAAACCAGCCGGGAATCGTACGATTCTCGGCTGGTTAGAACGGTGCTCGGAAGACAAATGCCGAACGGGCCGGTGTGCGCACGCGCACACTGCCCGTTCAGCATTGCGGTCATCGGAAGCCCGCCCCTCAGGGGGGCGGGCTTGTGATGATCGAGAGTGCGATCTGCCTGTCCAAGATAGGCAGATCGTACGTTTTTTTAATCCCTGTACAACCATCGCAAGACTAAGGTCTTGCGATGGTTGTAGAGTGTATGGCCACCTTAACATTGTCACTATCAGAAAGCCGGCCAGAAAAATGATGTGCAGCTGACACTGGAGCGAGTGCAAGAAGACAGGAAGTGGCTGGGGGACATCAGCAGCAAAAAAACAATAAACAAAAGGTGAAAACTATATTTTACATGTTTTTAATTAAAAGTTTTATTAAATAAAACTTATCTCTTTACCATCTACAAAGAAAAAAAACAAATCTGTGCTTAGGAAAAATATATATAAAGTTTAAAGCCGCTATGATAAAAAGCCAAAGGCTCCTGGAAATCTACGATGAGGCTGGGTTCACACCTAGGCGTATTGAATATGCGCGTTTGTCGCTTCGCGTTAAAAAAACGTGCGACAAACGCCCGTTTCCGAGGGCTACTTGGCTGTATCCCAATGGAAACGCGAGACCAAAACGCCCCAAAGAAGTACATGTACTTCTTTGGGCGTAGGCCGTTTTGTATCACGTTCGGACGGGCGGAAATACGGCAAGGTGTGAACCAGACCCATTGAATACAATGGGATTTAGATGTTTGAGCGTTTTGTACAGCGTTCGTCGAGCGTTGAACGCGCTACAAAACGCTCAGGTGTGAACCAGGATTTACACTGCACAGCGCTTAAAACTTAGAAGTTTTCAGTGCTGAAGTGCTAACCACCAAGCCACTGCACAGCCCTACAGGAGACTTTGGCTATTGGGTTCAGATCTACTTAATGCAGTGAAGACAGAATTGGGATACAACTTTAAAAACAATAGACCACGACACTCCAGCTGTGGTGAAACTACAAATCCCTTCATGCCTTAGATGTTTTCAGCGCTGTGCAGTGTCATAGTACAAAGAAGAAGAAAAAAAAAACCTGAAATATCCGGTTTGGCCAAACTGACCCTTTAAGTCAATCAAGCCCTTCATTCTACACCTGTTCTCCAGGTTTTTGCAGCAGCCAATTTTGATTAATTGCTTCCTGTCAGTGGTGTTAACATGGCATGGCTCTTACATGCAGGTGTGCACAGCAGGTGATGTCAGGGGCCCAGGGGGGCAGACTATATATTTAGGACTCAGAAGGGGCTGGCCCTTTTGCTCATCAAAGGATGGGTGTAGCTGCAAGTTGAAAGCAGTAGATACTGTACTACAGCGAGAGAATAAAACACGGTTTATACTCCTCAACAACAATTATCAGGTAACTGGATTCTATAGAGTATAAAATATTAGATGGGGATTTGGTTTAGTGCTGTCGATTGGCAATGTATTTAAAGCACCCGTTATATTTTCCTGCAGCGCTTTCAGATCTTACAGGGACCATATGCTGCCCTATCCATTAATAAAATGTTCTAAAGTTTTTTTGTTTAATTTGATCCAGATTTATTTATTTTAATTTTAGCCCTTTAAACTCTTCAGGCTTTCTCTAGAGCTTTTATATGGCTTTTTGTTTCTACAGGTCAATTGTCATTGCTGTGGTCCTCATACAAGCTGCTATTTGCAGTGGGGTTGAACCTGTTGGTTGACTTTTTACTGAGGGTTTGGTTTTGTTTGGGGTTTTTTTTGGCAGACCCTCTGGAAACAATTAAGCTGTGTAATGGGCCAAATGGATTTCCTGGTTTTTGTTTACTTTATAAACTGGTCCTTCTAGTATTGGGGACTAATATGGCTCATTCACATGGGTATGGTGTTCACGCCTTGGGGCAGAGATCTGCTCCCAGTAGGGACAAGTTCGGCATGTACATCCCTATGGGAGGATGCCGTTTTGCACCATCTGTGTGAATGAGCCTTTGGGATTATTTACAAAGCTAGAATGGCGAGATGGGTAGTTTTTGAGCAAGGTGGCCCTGCAAGCACCACCCAGGGCTACAAGCCGTCTATAAAAAAAAATATATAATAATCACCTCAGTCGGGTGGGAATTTATCAGTTTTAATAGTGACTGCATTCTGTTCTTTTTTTATTTCTTGTGCTGCACTGTTCCCAGTTCTCTGTGGACAAGAGAACACTTCCATCCTACGTTAGAGAGATAAGGAGAGGGGAGGTGCAGGGGCGTCCCGAGGCCGGATTTCACCCGCAGCGGGGACCATGTGGCGTCATCGCACGTGCACGGTCATCTAATTGATGCCAGCCGGCGGCCATCCTGGTAATGGATGCCGGTAGAGAGAGGAGGGGACGCTCCCCCCTTCCCCCCCCCCCCCCCCCCCCACACACACGCGCGTCG